AGTGACTGAAGTCACTGGAAATGATGGGTTTATGTCCAGACAACCAAGCACTCAAATTACGCCTTGACTGACAGCAGTGTTGCTTATGGCTCAGATTTTTCTTTATCAAAGATTTTTCTCAGTGTTCCAGAAGTCATTTTTAAAAACTTGTTACTACTTACCAACAGGAAATACTGAAGTGTTTCTAAGCTCACTCAGTGAGCTGGTTATTACAGTATATTGATTATTAGAAGTGCCATTTAAAAGTGCTGGCATCGATAACTTATTCCCAAGGAAAATTATCATGACAAATCAAGACTTAAATTTGCTTCAACAGGAAATAATAAATAGTACTGGCTTTTAAAGTCTGTGGTAGGTAAACTATAGGGTTTCCTTTCCTCCTGATCATAACGGTTGCTGTTAAGAACTCAAATATTCTACTTTAGTGCTCACTGTATTTTTCTTTTTCCTCCTTAGCAATGCAGAACCTTCAGAAAAAAGATTTCGCATGAACAGCTTTGTGGCAGATTTTGGAAGACCGCTGGAGTCAGAGAGGGTCTTTTCTCGTCAGATAGCTGAGGAATCCCGGTCGCTTTTCCATTTCTGTATTAACGAAGTGGAACACTTGGACAAAGCAAAACAAAGCCAGAAAGGTCTGGAGAGTGACATCCACTTCCAGGAAGCTCCCCGGAGCAGTGGAGTGTTTGAGGAGGACCTAAATTGTCTTACAAAATTTAACATTCCTAACTTTGTGAACACTGAGCAGAACTCTTCACTGGGTGAGGATGATCTCCTCATCTCAGAGCCACCAATCATTTTGGAAAGCAAATCAGTCATGCAATCTTCCCATCGGATCCTTGACTGAAGTCTTTTACGCTGAGGTAAAAGCTTCTGTTGCTGTCCAGTTTGAAGCCTTTCTTGGACTTCTGGTACTTTGACAGAAGGTATTTCAGACCTGTGGTTTCTATTGCATGTAAGACTGGCTGTGCTGACAGAACTCGGTTCAGACCACAGTAAAACACTGAATGCTTTGTTCCGATGTCCCCTGTTGTCCAAACATTTTGCCCAGCATTATTTTTGCTTCCTGAGTTTGTTTTGTTGTTGTTTGTTTTTAAATGACTGCTCATGTCCAGCTCCTGAGGGATACCATCATAATTTGTGGGGACTGTGCAGGCTGGAATGTGGCATTGGGAGGTGTACGTAAGAAAAGCGTAAACCTCAAATTGAAGACTGAAGCAAGGGTTAAACAGGCAGCTCCTGGGGAGGGTCAGCAGCTTCTGCGGTTCCCAAAAAGGACACCCGAAAGGGAGCAGCAATATGGATAGCTGCTTGATGTTAACTTCAGCTCCTGACTCCCAACTGCTTTTTGGTGCAGGTTAAATGTAACTTACAAAGCTTATAGGGAACTCAACTCATATTGGGTTCTTTTCCTTTCATATTAAACCTTTCCTATTAAATTGTTCAGTTACAGTGTGTACAAAATGTTACCACCCCCTGCTGCTGAGTAAAAGCGAATTGGTAATTACAGTACTTCAGAGTGACGTTCTGACAGCTGCCCAGTGCTGCCCCGAAATCAGTCTTTGACACACAAACAGTGATTTATTTTATTTTTTGTTTCAAATTGCTGATGAGAACTTCCAGTTTGGTAAGTGCAGAATTCGGTAGCTAAATCATGGGAAATGGGATAAAAATGGTTATTCTTTTGCCAATAGAGTTACTGTATGCAAATGGTGGTGGTATGTTAGGCTGGTGTTATGCTCTCCTAATAGGCTGAACCTTCCTGTGCTTTTTGGGTGTAAACAGCCCTTTCTTGACTAGCGGGCCCGTGAAGGGCTATCAGGCCTTGAGATGTTGAGAGGACCAACTCCAAGGGCATAGCTGAGCTGCACTTGCTCAATCTTTTTTGTACAGATTTGGTATGGTGCTGCAACCACAGCTGTTGAAGGGATTGAATAGGTGTAATTTCTACCTTGAAGCTTATTTTTGAGAAGGAGTAAGGGTTCTGACCCTTAGCCAGTACTTAAATCATGTTTCAGTTTTCTTCAAACTAATGGTCAGATGGTTTCAGGGCAAACATACAGGATGCAGAAGAACCAGGTTCAAATCCTTTGCTGGAGGTGGAGTGAGAGTGATCTGCAGGAAGTTTTGAACTGAAATGAAACCAGTGGATTCAAGATCCTGTGTCTAACTGGGTTTTCTTGAAACTAACCTGCTTTGTATACAGCATGTTAGTGTTGGAGTGAGTATGTAGCAATGGCTGCTGCTACTTTCTTCAGATGGTTAAATGCTGATCAATTCATTCTTCCTTCACCTGATAAATAGAAAAAATAGCAAATGAGGAGTGCATTTAAGGAATCCAAGGAGCAGGGGAAATCTCTTTGGTTTTCATCTCCTCTGCCCTTATTATAAACCACTTACACCTGAATTTCCTGTTTTCAAATGTATTTCTTGCACTACTTCCCAGTGTTTAAAGTAATAGGATTATACTTAAAGCAAAGCAGAGACTGTTTAAAACCAGCAGATTCCTGTTGAAAATGGCTCCCAAGAGAAGACTGAAGTGAACCCGGTTACGAGCACAGCTGCATGGGTCACAGCACAGGTCTCCAGGCCTCTTCTTACAGGGAGTAACCGTGAGCAAGCTGTAGCTGTGCACTTTTCTCTCCCCAAATAAAGAGATGTGGGAAATCTGCTTCCTGCT